TTACCATATTTATGATCTTGTTTTGTCACACTTTTAATATTTTATTTCTCATTTTTTAAATAAAAAGGATTGATTTTTATCATCTTGGACATTTTAAGGTATTGCACATGTTTTGGTATATTTTGAATTTCAGGACAATTTGGGGCGTAAATTAATTTCTGAAAAGAAATAAAATTACTCTCGAGTGAAGACGGAAAAATCAGCAAAGTGAAATGGGTCCTTACTTTAATTCCGAAATATTTATAAAGAGACCGGAAATACATTTCAGAATAAGTCAGACTGTCCGCAATAAAATGTATCGGTTAACTGTTGACCAGTTAACTGATCAAACAACTAACCGGCCAAAGCAATAAGTGACGGACGGATAAGAGCCAAACCTTTGGCTGACAACACTATTCACACATTGTGAATAAGGCTCCACTGTAGAAAAACTCAAACAAGAAAACAAAGGAGATTAAATACATTGTATTGATCCACCAACTACATACAAAGATGTCTTCGTCATCTCCATTCTTCAATCAAGAGAGAACAACGGCAAACAGCAAACAAAGAAAAAATACACTATGGAACAGCAGGCGGTGCTATTCTTCCACTGCTATATAAAGGAGTCATTTGTGAGCTACAGAACACACCAATTCGGAGAGAAATCTCCTTCTTCTCTTTTCTTTAGCTTTAGTTTATATTAGTAGCCATATAATAAAAGTGATTCTATCAAGAACACTTTCTGTATAGATTTCAGTTTGTAATTCTCAGTTCCAGACTTTTAGCTTGTGATATTTGGTATTAAAGTTCAGTTGCGATTATCAGTTCGTTCGATCAGTACCAGCTTAATACTAGGATTCCAGTTTTCTCTACTCCAGCTCATTATTTATGCCTTCAGGTTCTTATTCAAACACTCATTTTATTTTCTTTAATCTGTTAAATTAATTATGCCTATCATTAGTTTTACTTTTATTTCGTTTACTGTAATTATGTGTAACTAAATTAGTTTAGGTTTGGGCAAGATGTAATTTTTACTGTTAATGTTCATATGATAATAGTTGGTTAAAACTATTACTTGGTTAATTTTAGGAGTGTTGGGTTGAATATTCTAATATGCTAAATACATTATAATGGGAAATGAATATTATCACGGGAGTGAAATTTCATTAAAATCTCTTTTGTTATTTCACCCACTAAATTGCTACACGGAAGTGTTAAGGAATTTAGGATAATTTGATTTTGTACTTTTTACTGTCTTAATAAAATTACCGCGGGAGCGGAATTAATTTAAGATAGTGTAATCAACTAAGTCGTGGGAACGATTAGAAGATTACCATTTGTAAATCTTTCACACACCTAAAAGTAACTAAGTTAATTAGTTAAATCTTTATTATTATGAACATCAAAATAAAATTACTCTTAGCCCAAGCCTAATTTTCTCTATATCATTAATTGTTAAATTACCAAGTATTGTGATTTATTTTACTCTCTAGCAATTTCGCATTAACAAAAACAAGTTAAAAAACAATCTATTCACTTAGCTCCATTGCAAAATGTTATCAATTTGTGATTAGCTAAAAATCAATCATTAATTCTAGTTCTCTTTTTGAGCCATTCTTTAGCGGAACGATACCCACTTACTCTATACTATATCGTTACAAGCCAATTAAAACATCATTTCCATTCACATTTTTACACCATTTCACACTACACATTTTGGCATGTCACAATTTCGGCGCCGTTGCCGGGGAATGGCATAGTGTTATTGATTGACTATTAGTTAATATTAGTGTTTGTTATTATTTATCTGGAGACTAAGTATTTTTTTTACATGTTCTCATCACTTTTGTAAACAAAAAAAACAAAAAAAAAATCATTTTTCGTGCACTAAAAAAAACTCTTAAAAAAGTGTATGCATACTCGCTCTCAAGGGAGTGAAGGATTGCAACCATTTAACCTTGATTTTGAAAAAGAATCAAGGAAAAGAAGAAAAGCACGAACCCTTGAACTTAAAATTCCAGATCAAATCATGGAGGATTTTCAAAACAATCCCAATAATCCAAATGGTCAAAACCTAATTCCTAATCCAAATCCTTCGCCACCACAAAATACACCCATTAATACTCCAAGAGATGGACACAGTCCTTTCTTTGGAGATCAAAGACCACCAGGATTTGAAAATTTCCAACAAATTCCTCCCCAAACACAACCCCAACTTTATCCACCACATCCCTACCAAAATCACCAAAATCAAGCAAGTCATCAATCCTCGGTAGAGGATACCTATTCTTGATTGTGACTTTATTCAACTGTCAGTAGTCGATACACATTCTTAGTGTACCATCTGTTTTCTTCACGAAGAGTATCGGTGCTCCCCACGGTGAATGACTAGGTCTAATGAACCCGTTGTCCAATAGTTCTTGTAATTGGACCTTCACCTCTTGAAGTTTCGCCGGTGCCATTTGATAAGGAGGAATCGAAATGGGTTTGGTCCCCCGGCTCAACTTCGATCACGAATTCAATGTCCCTATCGGGTGGAAGCCCTGGTAAGTCCTTGGGAAAGACGTCCGGGTACTTGCACACGACACGTACATCGTTAATGTCTACTTCTTTCTTTGTTTCATCCACCACGTAAGCAAGGTACGCGTGACATCCTTTCTTCATCATCTTCCGTGCTTTCATCACGGATATAATACATCCATTAGGTCTTCCGCGATCTCCTTCGAAACGTAAGACGTTTCCCTCATCATCTTTGAGTTCCAAAATTTTGGTGTAGCAATCAACTCGAGCATGATGCTTTTCGAGCCAATCGATCTCTAAGATTGCATCGAACTCCAACATACTTAGAGGTACGAAATCACAAGTCTAAGGTTGACCCGTCACTTCTACCCCACATGATGGATAGTAGTGGTTCCTCTCAATGTCATCTCCTAACGGTGTGGAGACTAACAAGGTTTGTGTCATCGGTGTCAATGGCACGTCAAGACTTTCGGCGAACGCTTCACTCACAAATAAACGTTGTGCCCCGGTATCAATGAGAATCCTAGCGTTTCTTCCATTGATCAGTAGTGTTCCTACATTTATAGGTTATGTAAGACACTCTACTCGAAGTACCGGATCGAAAACAGGCTAAACGGACACTTTCAGGTCGAAAATGCACTGGATCGGCGCCGGTTTTGGGTTGGACCGGCGCCGGTTCACCCCTGGGGTGACAGATTACTCACAAATGAACCAGACCGCCGCCGGTTATGGCCAAAACCGGCGCCGGTTTACCTACGGATTTTTGAAAAAAATCATTTTAAATCAAATCCGGCCCCGGTTCCGAGCACGGTAACTCATTCCGGCGCATTTTCAATCGGACTGGCGCCGGTTATGGCCCAAACCGGCGCCGGTTGGAGTACGGCGTACTCCAATTTAATTGATTTAATTGGGCAGTCCGTTTTTGCTACTTTTTTCTCAAAACCGGCCGGTAACGACCCCGACCGGCCCGTACAAGCCCGCTATCACTTTATACCCTTAACAATATGTAATTTATCAAGCGATATCAAGGGATTACCTGCAACGGAGTCGGGGTTAGCCCGAGCATCGGCCTCGGTCATTGCATAAACCCGTGCTTGGGCCCCGCCTTGGTTGACGGACGCGGCATTGCTTGTTGATGCGCCGCCTCTTCCCGTGCCGCTGTGTGACGGTCCTGCACGGTTCTTTCCCGTCATGGTTCTTCCTCCAGCTCCCGAGGCTCCCTCTCTCCCCAATTGTGGGCAATTGGCCTTCATGTGACCCGTATTCCCACATTGGTAGCACCTCGGGGGTGCATTGCACTTCCCGAAGTGGTTCTTTGAACAATTAGCACATTTAGATGGCCCCGAGTTGTGAGACCCGGACGTGTGCCACCTAGAGTCCCTATTCTTCTTCGCTGGTGGTGCCGGCGCCTTGAATGAACCACCTCTGATGTGCACTTGTCGTGAGGTGCACTCAAAATAATTTATCAATACAACACTAATACGTAGTATAGTGAAGTAAGGTTCGTATCCACAGGGAAGGGAATACTTTTCTTTTATAAAATAGTAACAAGGGGGGTTTTAAGTTTGATTTGAATTAATTTAATTAACACTAAGATGAACGACTTATATGAGTTTAACTTATAGAGATGAGGACTTGGTTTTGCTTTTATCCACTTAATGAAATGTTCGTCGATCCCGGTTATATCTTTAACTATCTTCCTCTCGAATACTCAATCGAGGAGTATATCCAGTTCATCGAGGGTAGTTATTAATAACGAGACGCGTTCATTAATAAAACTTACTACCGAGTCAATATAGAACACGCGCCGTATATTAACACGATAGTAGCAATAAACTTGAGATGAAAACGATTGAGATTGATAACCTCAACACAAGCGGTTTATCGGTTTAATCAATATAATTAATTCCCCTTAGATTATTAACCATGAGACGCATGCATTAATAATCCAACTTTACTACCGTTGAAGGAACCGAATTAATAACAAGCGTATTAACCGATTGATTCTAGTAATAATTAATATATGAAACAAAACTAGTTGATCCTTTAAGTAATGCTCAAAATATTAATATGAAGTATGAATATGAAATAATTAATACTCATGGAAGAATATTAAAGAGTATGAATCCTACTATAGTTAATATCAAGATGTTAACTAATTGTCATCTTAGTAACACTCCCCAATATTAACATAGAGGAAGAAATAACTATTACTATAACTAATGTCAAGATGTTAACTAATTGTCATCTTAGTAACACTCCCCAACATTGATATAGAAATAGTATTTAAAGGAAGAATTAATATTCAAGGAAGAAAATTAAAGAGAATAACTCACGACTTACAAATTCATTAAGCTTCAAAGTAGCAAAACCAAGATGGAAGAGTTTAGCTCCTCATTTGGAGACTAAACATGATGAAAATATAAAGAAAGAACTATTCTAGACTGAGCTTAGAAGTATAAAGGAATTGGTGATCTTTGTGGGAAGGAAAGGGGGGTATTTATAGGCTTTTTAGGCTTGCAGGATCTTGTACCCGATCGGGCTGTAAGGGCACTCGATCGGGTACTTGGTTGCTTCGCGGAAGTATAAAAAAACTGGGTTATACCCGGTGGGAATGTCGGCCACCCGATCGGGTATGAACACTCGATCATGCCAAAATCTCCCCTGCATGTTGCCTTGTCCCGGATCCGATCCGATTTGATTTTTCAACAAGGTACCCGATCGGGTATAGGTCATACCCGACCGGGTACAACACCAAAAATCAGAATCTTGAGATTTTTGCACCTTCCTTCCATTTGTGATGTTCACCAATGGTCCCTAGAGTGATTTTGGACCTGTTTGAGCTTAGTATAAACCTAATCTAAACAAATTACAAACATTTTTACAACTTAAACTATTACACCAAAAGTGTGTAATTTCCAAAGTAATAATCAATCAAAACTAATTAAAAACACAGAAATAAATATGTAATTTACATGAATGTCAACCTCCTCCGTGGTTGTTCCTCCATGAATGATCGGGTGGCCCCGAACTATTCCACTTCCTTTTCTTCGCCTCCTCGACGTCTCTTGCTTTCCTCTCATTCCATTGGGTTTCCCCAAGCATACCTTGTTCAACCACCTCGCTAAAGGTCATGTGGCGCGAGTGCGTGGCCCGCGCCGGTCACAGATGTCCAACAGTAAGGCATCCCAAAAATGTTCAGTCATGCGGTCTTCATCGGCCGCATACTCGGGTAAGAACCTAGCCAAGGTTCTAAATTCTTGCTCCAATTGCTTGACCGTACCACCTTCCTTTTGTCTAAGGTTGGTGTACTCCCCTCCTCTTCACGTTGACCTCGAAGTCGGAGTAGTATTGAGCATAAAACTCTTGCTCAAAGTTCTGTCATGAGATGTTCCCACGGTATTTTCCTTCTATAGCTTCCCACCATGTAGAAGCCATTCCATCAAGCAAACGTGAAGCAATAGTCAACTTCACGTCCGTGGTGATTTGCATGTCCCTCGCTGCATCTTTCACCTTCTTTATCCAATCGGCGGTAACGGTAATATCACTGGTGCCGTCGAAGGACCTGCACCCCAAGGCTCTTGCCTCCTTGAGGTATTTGGAGATTCTCACACAGAAGTCTCCGTCACGTCCACCTTGAGACGCCCCCGAAACAGCCCTTGAAGCTCCCCAGCTTCGTTGGCCCGAGCCCCCTTGAGAGGCACACCTAGCTTGGCGTCTAAGGTCTCTCCTTTGTTTCTCCTTTTGATACCATTCGAGCAGCTCCCCCATTTGAGCAAAATGGGCATCGCTCTCATCATTATCATCATCGTCGGTGTGAAAGTCACCACATCATATGGGGTCTCCTCATGCTCCGTTTCAGGAACAAATGTCGAGTCATAGTTCTCGGTGTTAGTTTCATACACTGTACTAACGTGGCCATCGCTCACTGTTTGGACCCGGTGGCCCCCACGGCCTACACGGCATCCTCTTCTTCCCCTAGAACAATGTGATGTGGCCCGGCTAGCCCCTACTGAGCCCCCCGCAGCAAGTCCCCTAGGGTTGTTCCTCGTCGGCATACGTCTACCCTCCATTTCTACAAAGAAATTTGAACGAGTCGTTAGACTCCAATCAATGTCAATTGACGGAAGACGTTATAGACACATAATGGCCCAAGTCACCGCCATACGAATTGTTAAGGGTACCATCTTAACAACTAGAGAACTTGCAACTCGGGTAACAATAGTCCTATGAACGCCAAAATACAATGCTCATGGTTTTTGGTAAAACTCTTTTTTTTTGTAAAATCTCATTGTGAGAGGTTGATTACATAGTTTAGAACTAACCTGGCTCTGATACAACTTAATTGTCACGCCCCAGACCGCATCTAAGTGCGTGTACAACTGCCGTATGACCAAGTGATGTCACTCGCAAGTCAACGTGACTTAATCATACAAGGCGTCCATGAACATAATCCGTCCATACTCAATAGTAAACATACATAACAACATCACATTCAAACCAATGAATAGCGGAAATATTCAACGGTAAAGCATGGGCCACAACCGGCCAAAACGTGAGCTCACAGGCCCAAAATAGTTTATAGTAAATCAAATATCCATGAGCAAGTGTTTGGTAGTTTGAAAGGAAATAAGGAAGCATGAACCACGTCTTCCTTGATTTGTGTTCACCTGTAAGAAGGTGCAGGTAGCAAGCCCTAGCTTCAACCTGAAAATGGTGGGGGCCCCCGAAGGGGTCAGTACAAGTACCGAGCGAGTAGCAAGCTAAATGTAGAGTAACTAACGTTTCAAGTATAAGACCCAAACATAGGGTGATACATACACGTATAGTACTTTCCCCTAAGTTATGAAATACATATCAGTATATATATATATATATATATATATATATATATATATATATATACTTGGAAATACCCGACCCGTATGTCATTGTTTGTTTGGGAAAATAGTAGTAGTCAATATCCTTGACTCAAATTCCAACACACCCATATACCTATGAGTGTATAGGACTCCTCCTGGTCCTAATCAATTCATATTCCGACTTTTGAGGATAGTACCGTAGTCATTGGTTCTACACCATTTATACATATGAGTTTTGAGGACATTAAAGTCCTTGGGTCCTCCACCATGAGTTTTGAGGGCTCTTTAGCCCTTGGGTCCTCCACCGATGTACATATGAGTTTTGAGGACTCTTTAGTCCTTGGGTTCTCCACCATATGCATATACGTTTTGAGGACTCTTTAGTCCTTGGGTTCTCCACCGAAATATATATTCCAAGTTTTGAGGACTCTTTAGTCCTTGGGTCCTCCACCATATGCATATAAGTTTTGAGGACTCTTTCGTCCTTGGGTTCTCCACCATATGTATTCCTATGATCTACCTCAGTAATTTTATTAGTGCCATTAACATATTACTATTAGTTAATTAGTAATTTTAATTGAACGTTAGTTAATTTTAGTGAACTTTAATGAAATTTAATATATTAATGTTAGTTGAGTGAAATATATAAAATAGTCTTTAATATTTTATTCTGAGGTCTTAGTGAACTTTAGTAAACATTATACCATATTGGTGATAATTGTTAATTTAGTGAACTAAGTTCAACCGAGCTAGCTTAGGTTGTATTAATTTTAGTGAACATTATATTAGTAAATTATTAATTCCGGCCAGCTTAAATTTTTAATATTAGTTAGTTTAGTGAACTTACTGAAATATATGTTTAAAATATTATAGTAGTAAATTATTTAAATTCCGGCTAATATATTAACATTTTTAATATATTCTAAGTTCACTAAGTTCAACCGAGCTAGCTTAGGTTGTATTAATTTTAGTGAACATTATATTAGTAAATTATTAATTCCGGCCATTAACATATTGATTTTAGTTAATTAATAATATTAATAGTGAACTTGAGTGAAATTTAACATATTAATGTTTCTAAATATGAATTAGTCATGATTGAAAAGTTAGTTAATTCAAATTATTAATGCCACAAATGTACTGCTTTTAGTTAATTAATAATATTAATTGAACGTTACTTAATGTACTTATATAATATTTTAATTATAATATATATACAGGCATAATGTATAGACAAAACAGAAGTTGGATGTACCAAAAAATCTTCGCGATAACTATGGAATACGCAGTGATTTTTTTAATGGTGTTGAAGATTTTATTAAATTTGCACAAGAACAGAAGAATTATATGGATGACGATAAAATTAGATGTCCATGTACAAAGTGTAAAAATCTTCAAATTAAAGATGTCGACCAAGTTGTGTGGGATTTGTACGAAAAAGGTTTCGTTGCCAATTATTATAATTGGACTTCTCAATGTGTGCCTTGTTAAATCAACATTTTCATCTTTTTATTTTGAGTGTGAAGTCATCACTAAAAGAAAGAGACCTGCTCGGAACGATGACGTTGGCGAGGATTCATATGACAAAGTAGTTTCTATTTTCAACTACCCAGGTAGAGGTAAAGGAGCTGCGACTTACCATTACATCGTGGGCGGAGAAATGAAAATTGCACATACTTACATTCTCATGAATTGTCCATAAATCTTACCATTTTATAAGTAAGTTGAATTGGTAGTTATATTTGTAATATAGCTAATGTTTTTTTAAAAATTAGGGTGTTATAATAATATCTTTATGTTTCAATTCACAGTGAATATAGAGCGTCTTTATCAGCATTTCCTGATGATGCAATTGATGCAATGGTGGACTCTGACTTTGCATTATGGTACCAACAGCAGGTATATATATATATATATACATTATATATACTATTAGCTAATAATTTTTAATCATTACCTAATGTTATCATGTTTTAATTTGCAGATCAGGTACCGTGGGATTAACGACCCTCTGTTAGTATCATTATCTGTTTATTAAGTATAATTTTTTTAAAATGCGCTTAAATTTTAATGATTATAAAATGGTTATTAAATAAACTTTTGAAATTTTAAAATAAACTTTCAAAATGCGCTGAATTTTTATTTTTTTAAAAAAAAATAAAACTTTTGTCACGGACGGTTCCGTGACAAAATATAAATTCAGTTTATTTAAAATACCCAAAACGCTGAAAATAACATAATTTTTTTAAAAAAATAAAACCTTTGTCACGGATTAGATCCGTGACAAGTTCAAAATTTTGAATATTTTCGAAATTTTTAAAGTACCCGCCCACTTGTTTCGAAATTTTTCAAAAAATTTTCAAATTTTTTTGTCAGAGATATGTCCGTGACAAAATAAAAAATTTGAACTTTGCAGCTCATTTCAAATACCCGCCCACTCTATTTCGATTTTTTTTTTAAATTTGCAAAAACTTTGTCAAGGATATTTCCGTGACAAATAATTAATTTTTTTTTTAAATAAAAAAATTTATTCACGGCTGTGGCCGTGACAAATAAAAGGCGATGAAGTTCCGGTGAAGTGTTTTGTCACGGACGGTGGCCGTGACAAATCCGTGACAAACTCTCTCACGGATTACTGTCCGTGACAACAACTTTGTCACGCCCCTGGTGTCATGGATTTGGTCCGTGACAAAGTCCGTGACAAAAATCATTTGTCACGGATTTTTTGAACTACGGTCCGTGACAAAATCCGTGACAAATCAGATGTTTTTTTGTAGTGATAGCCTTGGTGATCTCAACAAGTTCTATACCCTGGAGTTTGGCCTCGCCAACCTCATCCCAACACAATGGTGTCCTGCATTTCCTCCCATACAATGCCTCGTATGGAGGCATGCCAATACTTTCCTGATAACTGTTGTTATAGGCAAACTCTACTAGAGCCAAATGTTTGTCCCAACTCCCTTGAAACTCCAAAGCACATGCCCTAAGCATGTCTTCCAAAATATGTATCACCCGCTCGAATTGTCCATCCGTCTGTGGGTGAAATGTTGTGCTAAACTTCAGTTTCGTTTCCAAAGATACTTGAAACTTTGGCCAAAATCTAGATGTGAATCGTGGATCTCTATCCGGCACAATGGATATCGGGACTCCATGCAATCTCACAATCTCTTCAGTGTATAACTTGGCCAATCTTTCAAGATGATAAGTAATGTTGATAGGTAAGAAATGTGCACTCTTAGTAAGCCTATCAACCACCACCCATACCACATCGTAATTGTTCACCGTTCGTGGTAATCCTACCACAAAGTCCATGGTCACATGTTCCCACTTCCATTCTGGAATGGTAAGTGGCTGCAAAAGCCCCGTCGGGTGTTGATGCTTCGACTTAACTTGCTGACAAGTAAGGCATCGACTCACATACTCTGCGATGTCCCTCTTCATATCTGACCACCAATAACTTTCCTTCAACTCTCGGTACATCTTTGTACCTCCTTGATGCATAGCATAGGCTGAAGAATGAGCCTCCTCTAGTATGGACTTTTGGAGCTCTTCAATCTTCGGTATACATACACGATCTCTAAACAATAAGAGACCATCTTCTCTTACCCGGAAATCCTCAACGGGTCCCGCAACGATCCATTCACGGATCTTCTGACATTCGTCATCATTTTCTTGACATATGCTAATCTCATCCATCAAGGTAGGTCTAACCTCGAACCTCGCTATGAGGGCCCCACTCGTGGTCACCTCCACGTGTGCCCTCAATGCACGTAGGCATGTGAGTAACGTCCCCGACGTACTCTTCCTGCTCAATGCATCGGCCACCACATTGGCCGCACGGGTAGCTCAGTTGGTCGAGTGGTGGGAAAATTGGACCAAGTGACCAAGGTTCAAAACCCGCAGCGGCCGTGTGGAGGTTACAGAACCTGAAATAAGGCTAGACCTCTGGTGCGCACGTGTATAAGGCCTACCGCCGCTTTGCTGACTGAGTCACCGTGATTATTAACTCCCCCACCATCCTATCGGGTCTGAGTGGGGGGCTCCTAGGATGGGAGATTCCACCTTTGGACCAAGATGAAGATGGCTATGAGAGGAACTGACAGGCCCCCGGCAGTCACCAGGTACGATTCTTATCGCGCACCTCCTCCGTAGTTACCTTTCTCGAACAGATCCCAAACAACGGTGACGGAGCTCAAGTAGTTCCAAGGTGTTCATGTGAACACCCAAAAGTTTACATTAATTAGAAGTATAAAAACACATATACTCCGTATAAAATTAATGTAATGATTTAGTTTATTTTACTAGTATAATATTTCTTGATTTTAACTTCATTTAATTTTTTTTTATTGAAAAGATGCATGTGTGTGGAATTATTTCAATAAATAATATTATTGTTCACAATTTTAATTGTAGAATAACATCGAACCAAAATATAGGTGTCAGATCCGCACTGCTCGGCAAGACCATGTCGTTATTTCAGTTTTTTCAATTCTAATGGAGCAGATGAAGAAACTTGGACTTTATGGACAGGTGGGCGATTTTAGAATTTCGGTGCTCAAGGTTCACAGCAATTCTGTATTATTTGATTCTCCAAAACGTAGGAATCCAAAATGCAAGTCAATAATTCTTTTTAATTCAATTTATATATTGCGTCCCTTAAAAGTTTGACATCTTTCCTTTTTGGGACGTTCCAAAAACTTTGACACTTTCCCTTTTAATCAATTATTTTGTGGTTCCTGTTATTTCTCTCCTCTACACAAACCTCAACCACACAGTTTTTAATTTATTATTCCCCGTGTTGATCAAACTTGGCAAAGTTTTAAGAGCATCTCCAATGCTACAATG